ATAAAAAAGGGTCAGTTGGCTACAGGTCTGAAAGCTCAAATCTGATCACTTGTAAAAGCTTGTGCTCCCACGACTTTGGCCAGAATGGTTATTTATGCTAGATTTCAAGAAGAAACTATGGAGGCAACAAAGATTCAGGAAAAACTAGCAGTAAGGTTCAGCTTCCACTGCATGGTCTCCTTCAGAAAGAAGCATTCCTGGAGACCAGCTTCCACTACTGGAACCTTTCAAGGGGACACCACCAGCTCAACCACAGTTACCCCCCTTGTTACAAGAACCAACTTCCATCACTATGCTGCAAACCATAGCTGTACTAGCTCAAAGGACAGTTAAATGTAAATATGTAATCACTCAGCCAAGGCACTGTTGTTGATCCATTGGACAGGTCAAATGGTGCAAGGGGCTGTACGGAAGTGTGCTGAGGATTTGAAGAACAGTCTTCCCATGCTTCAACCTTGAGGACAAGGTTATCTTAAGGGGGTAGTATGTTATAGGGTATTTGGGGAGTTAGTTACCAAATGATTAGAGATGTTAGTTTGTTTGGAGTTTGTTGTATTCTTTGGCTGTATAAGCCTTTGTGTCTATACATTTGAGAACCAATGAATGAATAATCCAATTTACACCCCTATGTTCATCTCTCTCCCTTCTTCCTCTCCATAGTCCATTCTATTACGAATATGAATCAACTGAGTTGATTCATCAGCATAGCTTCATCTTCGAGGATCTCTATCTTTTTCTACGACTCATTTTGGGTGTTCGTTTATAACCGTTCAGTGGTTGAGTCACTTTCTTCTTCTATGGAGAGAAAGAAGGGAGCTTTCTCTTCGAGGATCTCTCTCCCTTCTTCCTCTCCATTTCTTCTTCGAATTATAACCAAAAACCCGAATAACCCAGAACGGAATCCTCATACATTGAACGCTAACATGTAATATTCAGAAGAACAAATGCAGAATGCAGAAAGTGACTCAACCAAAAATCGAAGAGAAATTTGATGAATTAGCAAAACTTTAAACTACATCCACCCTTACTTACAAAAACAAGAGATGAAAGAATATGATCAACCTACCAAAGATTATCAGGAAAGATAAATTAATTCCACTGGATAAGATATAAATGTCTCAGATTTAGAGAATTGTACATACCTCTACACTGAAAAACGGAGATTTGGAGACTTAAGAGAAGTGATGTCGACTGTAACTCTTGCACCCGTGCGGAAGGACCGGAAATCGGAAACGCTGCGCCTTGAAGAAGCGGTGTCGTCTAGTGACTCTAGGCTAAGGTGCGAGCGGAGAGGCCTGAAGTAGTCTCTGCGTCTCTGAGATTATACATCATTCACCTCCGCCAATATGTTGAGTCGTCTTCTCCGTCAAGCACTCTGAGGTTGGGTAGTGGGTACTCGTTCAAGTAGGGTCGCCAAATGATTTCGGGTCGGGTTCCTACCGGGTTGGCTCGGCGGAGATAAAGTGATTAAAGTGAATCTTTCAAATAGTATAATAATACTCCTCCTATCTGAAATTAAATAACGGATTAAATTTAACAATTTTAATTATTTATTGAATAAAATAATGTATTATCACTTCTTTTTTATATGTTTTTTTATATAATTTTTTTAATATGTACAATTTATTTTTTTAATTCCACTTCAGTTATCTAATAAATTGAATTAAAAATAATTTCAAGCAAATATAATTAACTAAAATAGACGATCTAAATTAGAACAGATAGTATTATGTATTTTAACGAAGGGTTACCATTTAAATAAAATATTTAATAAACAGAAATCATTTGCAAATAAATATAATTACAAACGAGTCTAAAATTTTGTAAGGGTGGGCACTAGCCGGATCTGGCCGTTTTAAAAGGATCCGGACCCGATTTGTTGTAAGAAGAAACGAGTCGACACAGTCCGGATTGTTGAAAAAAATATTTAGAATCAACCCGAACTAGACTTGTTTTAAATGCTTCGGTTTTGCGGATATGCAAATCCGTGAGCTTTTTCTAGTAAATCAAGAATTTAAAACATGTCACAAACAAATACACACCCTAAATAAGAATAGTCAATAGAATAATACACTTTTTAAAACTAATTCATGATTCTAATAAATGAAATAAAATAGTTATAATATTCAACTAATAAAAGACTTTCACGTATTGACGTTGTAAACGTATGCCAAAAATGCAATTGAGAAATACTTTTTTTAATTATGATATACATGTGTGTAACTCTAGTATTACTTATTCAATTAATGAGTATCATTTAATTAATTAAGTAGTTTTGAAACTAATTTGAAAAATGCATAGTTGTAAAGTAGAGTACTATTTTAGGAATTTAATTTACGATTTAGTAAAGATATTCTAGTACCTTTTCGATCGGTAAAAGATTTTTCTCTCCAACTTTTTCGTCAAAAAAAAAATCTTTTTTGATTTTATTAGACTCTCGGTTTATTCGTATTAATTCTTATTTTATGTGTCACATCATACTTATTTACTATTCTATATTAATTTAAAATCAATCTTATTTTAACTAATCATATGAAAAATAATTTTTAAAAATAAAAATAAAAATATAGTATCTTCTTTAAATTTCAAAAAAAATAATCGCAGACACAGATCGAATGATTGTAGGTGCGTTGAACCAATCGCCGGGAATGATAAAAGTATGAGCACTCCATTTATATAAAAACACTTCAAATTTTGATTTTAAATAAGTTTTCTAATACTGTTATAATTCCATAATTTTGGAGTACGACACATAAAAAAATTGGAAATATTACAGAATAAATCTTATAATGCACGAGTTTATTAGTTTTTTCTTTTTCTTTATATTTATATATATATATATATATATATATATATATATATATATATATATATATATATATATATATATATATATATATATATATATATATATATATATATATATATATATATATATATATATATATATATATATATATGAAGCACCACCAGTGCTCTACTTGACCCCAAAACTAGTTTGTGACATGTTACCAAGTTTTTATTTTAAAAAATTGAAATTGTACAGTGGCAAGTCGTTATTATCACCATTTTTTTCATTTTCTTGACATATTTGAATTACTAAAAATTATTTTACCTATTTATTTTATAAAAAAAATATCTCTACTTACTCAAAAAAGTAACAAATTTTTTTAAATATTTTAATTATGAATGTTTTTGTCATCTATTCCATATTTTATTTTACCCCTTCTTATCAAATAAGATTTCAATTTTAGAATTACAATACAAAATTCATGTTTTTAGAAATTACTTTATTTAAAATTAATATAAGGATAAAAAATAAAACTTACTTACAGTATTAAAAAAACCCACATCAAAAGTTTTACAAAAAAAGTGACTAATATTTTATTTTAGAAAATAATCAATGAAAACATACAAATAAACAAAACAAATCGAGAGGTGAAGGAAAAAATTATAATCTATTACGGGATGGAAAAAGTAAAAAATAGTTCTATTACCTTACAAAAAAATATTTTTTTTCTCAAACAAAAATTTAAAAGTAAAAAAAATAGTATGAGTTGCCTCGCTCAAGCCTTGCACACTGTGGAGAATTGATACTTCCACGCGAGGAAGAATTTGTTTTTGTCTGAGGTGGCGTGGCATGGGATAGGCGTGGAAGCCGCTGCCCATGCTCTTAGTGTACATCGCACGAACGTTAATTTAGTTAATGAACAATTGGGGCGATCCGTTGCCAGAATGGATAGCTGACTAGTTGTTTTTTTACTTTATTTATAAAAGTTGTTTCTCAATGGTGCGAAAAAAGAGAGAGATGAAAGTCAAGAAGACGATATAGCCAAATAAGCACTCAAATACGAGTGAAAGTTAGGGAAATCCTTTGAATTAAAAGTTAGGGCCCATCCATCATCCATGTGATATTTTTATTAGTACTATGCAAAAAAAATTACCCATTGCCTTCATAAAAAAGTTTTTCGTTTTTTGGTTTATATGAATATAAGAAAAAGATGAAATGAACTGGGGACATGGAAAAAAAGGAGAATGGAAAAAAGATAATTTGGAACAAAAGAAAGGATATGAGGGGAAGATTAAAAAAAGGAAAGAAGAAAAAAGGGAAGAGATAGATTGTGATTGAGAATTTAATGAGGAAAAGAGTTTACATTTAAAAGGACAAACTTATTATTAGACTGTACTCTAACTGACTTAAATAAATAAGATTAGGAATAAAGAAGAGGCCATCATACCATGGCACACCAGTACAAACTGGATCAATATGGGAACACACACAAATGACACAAACACACCTTCAAAAGGTAAAAAGTCCTGTGCTCCACACTTAATGAGGAGTAGTATTTAGAGAATAGATGAGGAGGACATATGCATCAAGTTGCAGAGCACAGGTTGCAGACAAGTATGTAGTGAAGAAGAGTGCTACATACACAAATACACATGCCATTGATGCGAAACAGAGCGAGAAGCTAGAAGAATCGATTTCAGAATGAAGAAGGATAGGTTTTCAAAAACCATTGCTGTACAGGAGGCTCCGATTCGATAACATGAAAAAATTCTTCAGAAAATCAAGAGGAGAATGAATAGATCATTATGAACTGATGATTTTTTTTTAAAAAAATATATTTATTACATGTGATCTATTACAAGCTAAGCTATGAGGAGGAGGAAGTCCTCTAGATATGATATTCCAGGAACTAAAGACCTCAAAAGGAACGGAAATGCAACAGAAAACAGTTATGAGATATATGCAGTAGAAATGCAAATTAAAGTGTACTGTAGCACTCTTCTTCGCAGATTAATTGAGATGAGTTTATGGATTTCATATGCATATCAGTGTTTGAAAAAAAGTTCTAATTAAACTCATGATCGGATGGGAGGAGGATCAAGTATGTCTATGTAACGTAACAAACACATGCTTGAATTGAAATTTAAAGCCACGGAAGAATTACATGTCAAGTTCGTATTGCAAGCCGCACCAGTATGCATAGGAAATCTAATCGATCGAGCATTCATTTATTACAGTAAGAGATCGATAGAGTATCGGAACACAGAGCAGCAGAGATAAGGTTTCCGATTGAATACCTACAGATGGACATGAATGGAGGATGCTCAGATCGATCAGATTAGAGCAGAGCGACGGCGCTTCTATTCAGGCGCCGCCGGAGGAACCACCGGCGTCTTCCATATCACCACCTTTCAGCGCCTTCCTCTCCTCCATCACCTTCCGGAGCCGCAATTGCGACTGGTGAAACTGCTCTGCTCGCTGTGCAGCCTGCGGAAATATGTGAGCATCGGTCACAGAGTCAATGGCTTCTCTGACGTTTCGGACATATTCTCTAATCTCCTTATCGACCTTTCCCGCCGGCATTTCCAGTTCCTTTTCAGCTTCGGCTTTCGTAGCGACCTTTTCCGCCGGCATTTTCAGTTCCTTTTCAGCTTCAGCTTTCGTAGCGACCTTTTCCGCCGGCATTTTCAGTTCCTCGACCTTCTCTTTCGTTCCGGCCATTTTTCCACCGCCTTTGCTTCTCTCTCTTTCTCTCTCTCTCCCTCTCTCTCCAATTCGGTTGTAAAGTCTGATTTCCCCAAATTTACCACTACCCCTGTATCATTATATATACTCACTCGCAAGGATACATCCACACTCTTCACGCGCCAAACCAGACTTTAATCCAGAGGTTAATAGTTATATTTTATAAAAATATAATTTGTGTAAGATATAAATGTATTAATACTTTTAGACATCATATAAGAAGTATCATGAGTTAAATTATTCAAAATCAATGTTGATTCATCATATAAATTACAGAGTATGATTACTCAATATTTATTTAGGATTCGTGAACTATTCAAATATTAATAAATACAAATTCGAATCTTATTTTAATTCGTCTCATATTCGAATTTGGGTTTGTATTCCAAAAAAAAATCAAACAAAACCAAATTCAAATATAATGACATTCGCTTCGTTTATACCCCTATATTCGAGTATCTATTTATTTTTGTCCGAGCAGAGTCTTTTTGTTTTCGAGTACCTTTGCATAACTTTTGTTACCGTGAAGAGCAACAAAACTCAACAAGTACCAGAAGCTGAGTGTGACTGATTCTTCTATCGGAGGGCCACACACCGAGCTTTGGACCATTGGTCTCTACAGGCGATCGAGGTCGCGGTCAACTAAAGTATGGTCCCGGCTATCACAACTTGAGTGGCAGTCAGTCCACGTCATGATATTTCTATATGTTAGATTTGTGACAAATGTTCTACCATTAAATTTTGTTACCATTGCGACTTGCTAAGCGATATGGCGAACTCGGAACAAGAAGCTAAACCAAATGCAAATGCCAAGTGTACAGGAGTGTTCTTCACGAGTGTGGTTTAACTTCAATTGTTATAATAAGAGTAAGATGGGGAGACACTTGTAAAAAGAAGTAGTGCTTTCACCCAAATGTATCAATCTTGATTAATTACACTTTACAAAATTTAAGAAAAAAGTATTGAAAATAAATAGTTTAATTTTATTTATAATAAAGAGAAAGATTGTATACATCATATGTTCTAAATGAATATAATTTGCTGATGCTTAAGGGGCTGTTTGGCAATTTCTGAATAGATAAATGCTGAACCAGTAAGAGGTCTGAATCATTAAGTGCTGAACCAGTATGAGGTCTGAACCATTAAGAGCTAGTATATTCCTTAACTATTCAGAGACAAATGTCTGATCGATTCAGATAAGAGCTCTTAACCATTCAGACTCTGTATAATACTTAACCATTCAGAGGCAAATCTCTTAACCATTCAGACATCTGAACCATTAAGAGGCTGAAACAAACATTCTGAACCATTAAGTGCTGAATCATTCAGACATTTGAACCATTAAGAGGCTGAAACAAACAGCCCCTAAGTCCATAAGTGAGAAATATTAAGCTTTACACGTACTTTCATGGGCCAACATATGGAACCTTTAATTTTTGTAAAAGGCGCAATCTGTTCATTGGCATTCTACGGCTTCCAAAAGTTGCTTGACGTCAACTTTAGATAGTTTGGAACCGAGCCCAACCTACCTAGATTTCAGTTCTTCGTATGGAATAGTCCCACTATTATTTGTAATGTCCGTAGCGATTTGTAAAGAAGATGATAACCACAACCACAAATCATGTGTAGCCAGAGCCATGTCCAAGTTGGTTTAAAATCAATCATGTGCTCCCTTTCTTCCTCACCCCGTTTCTTCAAGTCGGAGGTCCACGCCGCTGAATGGTATAAAGAACCCAAAGGCAAAAATGGGCAAAACCCCTATGCAGGAACAAAATTTGCACCAAACAGCATTTCCCAGCCACAAGATACTCATAGAGAAACACCATTGGATGACATAGGCGGCTTAAAGGGGGAATACATCATTTCTAGAACAACCACATGTTTGCTCAACATGTGGCTCAAGGGATGATGAAAATGATGCCTGATAAAAGCTAAACTAAAGCTCTTCAGAAACTGCCCCTCTGAATGCCTTTGCACATTTTGCAGGTAAAACTTGGTCCCTAGCTTACTTCTGTCTTGCACTCCCCATATTGCTGAAGTTTGTTGTGTGGGTGGGAGAAACACAGTTGATCGGATCACACATACAGGAGCATATGGCTTCCTTTGAAAATATCTTCTGTGAACAATGAACAAAGATCCCAATAACAACAAACCAAATCAATACGCACATATATATTGGAGCTGAGAGACATACAAACACACACACACACACAAGCTATTTTGACAACACCTTGTCTTTTACGACAACAAGCCTATTGCGGATAGGTTTTATAAGAGGGAGAAATACCCCTTATCGCTTACCCCATTATCGTTTCAAATTTTAAAAAGCATAGTGCGCTTTTCATTTTTGGAGGAGTAATTTCCCGTTTTAAGTTGCTCTAAACTTAATACGCTATGGGATGGGTGTGAGATGCCAGTGGAAGAGATGGAATCTGCCAAATGCAAATGGAGGCTCCTCTTTGAAAATCCTAAAACGGCTCACATCTCAGCAAATTGTCTGGATTGCAGAGAACGACTGTGGACCACGTTCTACAAATCAAGTAGTAACAAGAATAATTTATTCCATCAAATGACCAATGAAAAAGCGCATGCAAACAAACGTTATGGGAAGGCCAGAAGTACTCCGTGATAAACAAGAAAATCAGTGTCACTGTTGGTACTAACCACATAGAACCTGCTCCCTATAGTGCCCAGAAGTAAAGCTAAAGGAAGGAAAACTGCTTTTAAAACTATATCTTTCATTTGTGAGGACATACTTTTAGTAGTGAAATACGGAGAAGGAATTTCAAAGACCAAATTTAGAAAAAACGACGCTAAAAGTCAACAACAACAACAACAACCCAGTTAAATCCCACAAGAGTAGGGTCTGGGGAGGGTGTGTGTACGCAGACCTTGCCCCTACTCGAAAGTAGAGAGGCTGTTTCCAAAGAGACCCCCGGCTCAACGTCGAAAGTTGCATTGCTTGACTAATTGCTACTTCATTAATTAAAGAAGCGCAAACAGTTTAGAGATCCATTTTGATTTATTCCATCACACCCCAAAGCCAAAAAATGGTGAAATTTTGGCTCCATCGGAGATGATGGAAAAAGTCAACAACAGAAGCAAATTCTGTAGTTAACAAAGTCGAAGGTACTCAAGCAATGACAAAAATGGTTTTCTAAAATCAACCTCTTGAAAATTTTACTGTGAATTTAGTGCTCCCTGCGTTACAAACAAAAATGTTTCAAGGATGAAAAACCAGACTTAAGAAATACTCCCTCCGTCCCTTAAAGTCCTTCCCTTATTGACTTTTTGGGAAATTAAGGGAGGGATATTTTGGTGTTGACTTTCTATAAATACCCTTGATGTGATGGGTACAAATAAGATGTGATGGATGGATTATTAGTAAAAAAGGTATGATGTGATAGGTAGGGTATGAAAAAGTAAGGGGTAAAAGTAGTTTTTTAATAGATAAGGGAAGGAGTTAGTGGGACAAGAAAAAAAGAAAGGCGAAGGAGTTTAAGGGACAGAGGGAGTATAAGAGTTCATTATGCACTGGTCAGTGACAGGGTGAACCACCATTAGAGAGATGTAAAAATGTTGTTCTTGGGAAATGATAAGAGAAAACTACATTACATATAACCATGCATAATCAGAGTAGAGATAAGAGCAAATAACTTATTTTTCACCAGACAGTAGTTATGTATCCAATGCAAAAGTATAGTAAAAAAAAACCATAAAATGACTTATACATACCTGATTATCGCGATTACAGTCGAATATGGGTCTCTATCACCAAGAAGACTCCATCACCTTTGAACCAATAATTGAAAGATCAGCAAATCATGCTTTTTTAAAAAAAAAGTATTCAAGGAGTGATCATGTTTGCCTAATCGCTACCTCAAAAAATACATTTGACTATTTGCCAAATACAGTGGTACAAAATTGTGTACAGTGCAGGCAATAGTGGTGTGTCCCCCCTCCTCCTCTCTATCCAAGAGGTGGAGTGTTCAGAACCTAAGGTACAGGCGATATTGGTGGTTTATAGGAGTAGAGTATGTATGACTTGTTCTAAAAAACAGTCGAACGCACACCAAGAATAAACAACCTGCGGATCTGTTATCTAGCAACCTACATGGCAAAATCCGGACCTATTTTGTTCAGAGTCATGCTTTCATCAACAACAACAACAACAACCCAGGTAAATCCCACAAAAGTAGGGTCTGGGGAGGGTGTGTGTACGCAGACCTTGCCCCTACTCGAAAGTAGAGAGGCTGTTTCCAAAGAGACCCCCGGCTCAACGTCGAAAGTTGCATTGCTTGACTAACTGCTACTTCATTAATTAAAGAAGCGCAAACAGTTTAGAGATCCATTTTGATTTATTCCATCACACCCCAAAGCCAAAAATGGTAAAATTTTGGCTCCATCGGAGATGATGGAAAACGAGTCATGCTTTCATCATTGTATCAAAATCCAAAACCATGAAACCATCACCTTTGATCAACCCGGAACCCTAGCCAAGAACAACCTAGAGATGAGACAACTTGTGCATAGTATTTTTCTACGCAAATTGTTGTTGGAAAACCCAGAAACACTTATACACTTAAACAGAAATGCTCACTTCTGATCTCCCCACAAATGGAAGAAAACTGGCTCACTACAGACATAATATAAGTAGCCATGAATTACCCCTCTTAAATTACCTCATGAATGATTGAATTCGGTATCTGAAACGAGTGTAACACACCTGCCATTTAGTAAGAAATCATTGCCAGTGAAACTGAATGAATTTCAAAGAGCAAACATAGAAAATTGAAGATGAAGGTCAACGATAGAAGCAAATTCCGTAGTTGACAAATTCAAAGGTACTCAAGCAATGAAAAAAATGGTTTTTAAAAATCAACCTCTTAAGATTTTACAGTGAATTCAGTCCTAACTGCATTAGAAACAAAAATGTTTCAGGAAATCACGATTGTATCCAGGTTTAATTCAATTCCACTAAAAACATATAATGCTTTTAAAGATAAGTATTCAAAAATGATCAGGTTTGACTAATTGCTACCTCAAACAAAATATATTTGGATAATTGCCAAATAAGGTGGTATAAAATTGTGTACAGTTTCTAGAATACCATAGCAAAATACTCTGTAAATTAAAGATCAAATAAAGCCATGATGATAACTACAAATCAAATCACTATAACCGAAAGTAAGAGAGTGGGAAAACGAGGTTTTTACATTTCAAGTGAAGGGGCCTTTCTTTGTTAAACTCTTGAAGTCAAATCATCCTCTTTGTCAAGCTTATACTGCAAAAGTTATGTGACCTATAATTCTCTGATTTGGAAGCACACTACCAGGAACCACAAAAAATAGCAACTCCATTATAGCAGAATTCATAGACAAACTTCTGAAAGCACATTTAGAGATAAAAAAATATGAAACAAGTGTATATTCTTTCTGAAACCTCAGATTCTGAGTTGTTGAGGGAAGCTCACATTATCAAAGCCTCAACAAACAAAAATAAGTAATTTAATTTGCTCTATCACTTCAACAATTTTATTTTATCAACCTCTCGAAATCACAACTTGCACCGATAACCATTTTTTGTTACATTGTTCTTGCATTGTTGCTATCAATGTCGTGGAGTAATATGATTTTGTTGTAGATGGCCAGATGCATAAATAACCAAGAATCATAAATGCTCATTTCTGGTCTCACCACAAATGGAAGAAAACTGCCCCACTGCGGACATAATATATGTAGCCATGAAGTACCTCTCTTAGATTACCTCATGAAGGATTGGATATTATATTTGAAAAGAGTATAACACACCTGCCATTTAGTAAGAAATCATTGCCAGTGAAATTGAATGAATTTCAAAGACCAAATATTGAAAATTGAAGATGAAGGTACACAATAGAAGGAATTTTGTAGTTAACAAAGTCGAAGGTACTCAAGCCATGACAAAAATGGTTTTCAAAAATCAACCTCTTAAAAGTTTTTACAGTGAATTTAGTGCTCACTTCATTACAAACAAAAAAGTTTCAGGGATGAAAAACCAAATTTAAGAAATTTATGATGTAAAATTGTTGTTCTTGAGAAATGATAACAGGAAACTACAATTTATATAACCATGCATAATCAGAATAGAGATAAGAGCATAACTTTATTTTCACCAGACAATAGTAGTGTATCGAATACAAAAGTATAGTACATAAATGTATATAACTCATATATACCTGATTAACGATATGACAGTCAAATTTGGGTCTCTATCACCAAGAACATTCCATAACCTTTGAACCTAAAATTGAAAGATCAGCAAATCATGATTGTATCCAGGTTTAATTCAATTCCATTAAAAACATATAGGCTCCGTTTGGTATGTGGAATTCAAATTATGGAATTGGAATTGAGGACTTCAATTCCAATTCTAGTGTTTGATAGCACAAAAATTATGTGGATTTGGAATTAATAGTGCAAAAAATGAATTCGAATTGGCAGAATTCAATTCTATGGAATTGAATCCCATGGAATTTTAATTCCAATTCAATTCCAATTCCATCAATTCCATATACCAAACAGACCCATAATGCTTTTAAAAATATGTATTCAAAGAATGATCATGTTTGACTAATTGCTACCTCAAACTTTATATTTGGCTAATTGCCATATAACGTGGTTTAAAAATGTGTACAATGGGGGCAATAGTGGTGTCCCCCCTCTATCCAAGAGGTGGAGAGTTCAGATGCTGTAAGGTGCAGGCGATATTGGTGGTTTATAGGAGTAGAGTATGAGTCGTTCTAAAAAACTGTCAAACCCACAGCAAGAATGAACTTGGCCATTAACTTTTTCTAAACAAATTGTTGCTGAAAACTCCGAAACACTTGTACACTTAAACATCATTGCTCACTTCTGACCTCAGCATAAACCAAAAGTAGCCATGAAGTAGACCTAATATAAGTAGCCATGAAGTACCCCTCTTATTGAAGATAATAATAATAACAATAATAATAACAGTGTGTGAAAATAGAGCAATAAAAAAACCATGTGCATAAGAGAAGAGCAAATTAAAGATTGTTTAAAATGGACAAAGACCAGATAAAAGTAAAAGCTTGTGAAGATGAAATGTTAACATTCTTTTGTGTCTATAATACCATAAAAAAATAGATGATCACTACAAACTAAATCACTATAACAGAACGTAAGAGAGTGGGAAAACGAGGTTGTTGCATTTCAAGTGGAGGGGCCTTTCTTTGTTAACTCTTGAAGTCAAAGTATCCTCTTTGTCAAGCTTATACTGCAAAAGTTATGTGACCTATAATTCTCTGATTTGGAAGCACACTACCAGGAACCACAAAAAAAAAAGGTAACACCATTATAGCAGAATTCATAGACAAACTTCTGAAAGCACATTTAGAGATAAAAAAAATATATGATACAAGTGTATATTCTTTCTGAAACAAATTAAATAAACCATTCAAAATTTTACCTAGGTAGTAGAGATCACACGAGCTTTACAATGAATAGTTAGAGTTAGAATCTTATTCATCATTTACTCTTTCACCAACACCGCCCCTCACACATGTTGTAGTACTTGCCACTGAATCACTGGAAACATACTCTTTTGCATCTTTTCCTGCGATTAGGTAAAATTTGTTCAAAGTCAATAGTGTACTTAAAATCCCTCATTGCTTCTACATTTCTGAAAAAAGAAATTTAAGTATAAACTCTGAAGCATACCATTTCTCTGTAGACCAAATCAATAGATGAATCAGGTTTAGATCTAGGAATGTATGCTTCAGCTTTAAAAGTGGAGATACCGAGATCTTATAGACTATATAACAAGAGGTTTTCCATATATACTTCACATAGCTTGTTATGAATTTTTTAAAAGAAATCATTAGAGAGTAGGCTACTACATCTTTAAGCTATTAGAACCAGTAAGCGACATCATTGGAATACATAAGATTTTATAAATCCATTTTTTTATTTAACACAACTAAAAAATAATTTCAAAAAAGGATTATCACATGAAACCTTACTTGTTAGTTTTCTATTTTTAAAACGCCATTGATATAATGTACTAGTCTTTATTAAAGATGTATACATGTAAGACCAATTAACCCAAAAGGGATGGTATATCAATTTGACCATCATATCATAGAAGTCAAATTACAGCAAGTTGCATCTAACTGGCAATAGCTTGTCAGGAACCGAACAGGCATCACCGACAAAAAACACAGAGAAACTATGTTCCCAACATGAAGCAACAAGCGGCATCTGGGGATGTCTAGCCATATTGAAAAGCAAAATTCTATAACATCAAACCAAGAAGCACAATTCCTATTAAAAGGAGCAAGGACGAAAGTAATGCGTGCGATGGAGATAAGGGCTGAAGCATACGGTTGCAGTCGGATAAATTACCAGCAGTCAGCCAATAATCTGAAGATGGAAATACATTGGCCTTGGAAGATGTCGTAATGTCGGGAGTCGGGCCAGAATTCAAGTTATCAATGTTTTGAGGCAGGGCTCCAGCGCCATCATCGTCTTGGGCTTTTGGGAGAGGATAACCCTAGTAAACGACAAAGGCAGGCAGTGTGGGCAAAAAAAAAAAGAGAGAGATGATCTACGAACGGAATCCCCAAGCAGCTTATGGTGCAACATTAGCTAAAGACCCACAGTATGAAATGCAAAAAATGAGGAAAACATGATAAAGTAGAAAAGGATGACCCTTCTCACCCGAAGAGACAAGCAGTACTTCTTACCCATAAAAACTGATCTAGCCTTAGAAATTTTGAACTCTCTGCCAGGCCATGCTATCAAAATCCATTATGTAGAAGGTGGTGGAACTGCAACCCGACAACAGTTCGCCTTGGTCATACACCAGCCAGGGACATGGGCCTGGCGAAATTTCCATATATTTAGATTTGTAGCCAAAATCACCCTCCGGTGGCGGCGCTTCATCTCCGTCGCACACAAAGTCACCCTTTGAAATGAAAACTTTAGCAGACTAGGAGGTATTTGGGATTTCGGACGCATAGTGGTGTCATTTCTTCCAACCAGGGAAACACCTTCTCTGTGGAGAATATCAGCAAACACCTTGTGGGCGGTGATATCATAAATCCTCCTATTTACAATAGCAGCAAATAATTTAAATCCCGCCTAAAATTTTGGACCTATATGGGCCGGTTTTTAATACGGAGTATACTATTTTGGGTTATTTTTTTTAATTTTAACTGCTCAAGCCCAATTCAAATTAGTTATAGAAGCAAATAATTTAGAAATGAAACTTCTTACCAGCGATGTCAATTCTTTTAAAAGAGTGTTCAAAATATTCCTAATCATATTAATTACTCTATTTATTTAAATTATTATTTCAGCATATTATTTTAATTATTAATCTGGCGTATTATTTTTTATCAATAAATCCAGTACAACAAAAGATACCACACTTCATAATTAACACATGATTCAGAAAAAAAATATTGCTATTATTAATAAACAAATATTTCAACATAACAAATGTTAATAATAATACAAATACATATCCTAAAAATAACATGCAACACATAAAAAAATGATGCAGGCACAATCACACATTTGCCTTCATGTAATCCTCACCTGAAAAAGGAAAATATTATTAATAAGTATTGCTATATCAGGATTTTAAATTTTGTAATATTGATGGAATTAATAATAATGATACAATTTTGAAGTATATTGGAAAAATTATTATTAGTATTGCTATATCAGGAATTTAAATTTCGTGATATTTGTGGAATTAATAATGATGATACAATTTTGAAATCTACCTCCACTAATGCATATTTATAAAAATATAATTTACTAAAATTATCATGTGAGTCATTCCTGAAAATGGCAAAATCATTATTAGCATATGCATAATAAAATTCAAAAATCTGTTATATACCATGAAATAATAATAATAATAATAATTAATAATAATAATAATAATAATAATAATAATAATCTGACAAAGGACAGATTGAGTGGTTTCTTGCCAATAGATCCTACCTGTATAATGTGCACCAAGGAAAAGGAGACAGTGGATCACCTATTTTGCAGTAGACATTTTCTTTAATGTCTCTGGTTTTATTCAGTTTGACCTTACTTCTTGTTCTATAGCTGAATTGGGACAGAAACCAAAGGAAGGGAAGAACAGGAAAGATAGATGCTTCATTGCTGCTTGCATTGCCATTTGTTGCTATTACATTTGGAAAGCTAGGAACACAAAGCAGCACAACAAAGAGATGACCAAGGAGAGCACGCTGAAGGCTATTGTTGAACAGATTAATTTCATCTCCATTAATAAGTAGCTATTATGTTTTTAGGGGTGGCTGTAGTGTGGCTAGTGTTCTCTGTTTGGCTGTTTTGCATTTGTGATTTCTTTTGTACTGGTTGGAGATATTTGGGTGGTAATATATTTTGTGCTTTGTTAAAAAAAAAAATAATACTCCGTAATAAACATAATAGAGAATTAATGGAAGGGAGTCGAGGGACAGTTCGCACATCCTTCTATTTACAATGGGAAAAAATTCCGGGAAGCACCAACCGTCCAGGCACGATCCCAACCGTCCGGGCACTATCTCTAAGTGCACAATCATAAGACGCCACCATCTCACCACCAATTCCATCTCTCTGTTTCTATCAAATCCATGAGCTAGGACGATTTTTTAGGTGGGAGCAGTTTCACCATATGAGAACCGCCTAACTTCCCACTATTTCACGGCTTAAAGAACCTCAATTTCACTCTCATCTTTATCCTCACCTTCTATCCCTATCCAGTCAAAAGGAATGCTAAGCCGCTCTCATCTGGTGAGAGCATCGGAGGAGAACCTTCTGGTGTCCATGAACAAAGATTCCTTTTGGGAAATTGACTACTTCAGGTGCGTTTTTGTTTTTTTTTGTGTTTCATAGATTTATAAATTATTTCATTTTGTATTCCTCAAATTTGTGATTTTTTTTCCACTCAGTAAGATTTTTTTTTTTATTAAGAACAAAATGGGCAGGCAATTGCTAGCATAGGTTTGACGGCCGAGTGCGAGTATGGTTGTATGGGTGCAGATTCTTTAAACTTTGCTGACAAAAGGTATGCCCTGCCCTCCAAGTGTTCGTCAATTTGTCTCAATGGTAAATTCTTTGAAATTTAATTTGGTGTTGTGATATGATTGTTGTTGGTTTAAGAGCCCAACGAATAGCAAGTTTTCCCGTACCTAAAAGCTGTATATATATGTACTCCATAATTGAGTTGGTATGTATTAAAATCCTCCTATTTACAACAGCAGCCCGGGAAAAATTATGCGGGAACGGTTGGAGGATGATACTTTTACCCCAACCTCCCACGATCTCACGCTGAGTGCCTTCTTTCCTCCGTCAAATTCCAGAGATCTTTTTTTCTTCCCCATTGAGTGCGCTGGCTGAGCCTAGGCAATTTCCTAGCGCTGGAAGGATTCAACAGTGAAAGAGAGGAAGTAAAATTGCCGAGGATGTTGACAACCATGGGCTAGGGTTTCGACCATAACACAATTGACATTCAAATTCAGACAATATCTAAAAACGATGATGGGGGCACAAATTCAATGATATTACGGAATAAGGGCATCTCAACTTCTACATGTAAGCCATATTTATCGATGTCAATTCATCTTCGTCTTATTCTCTCTCTATACTTGCTTATGAATTTGAACAAGAATTGGAAGAATCTAATCCATGCATCTCACTCTCTGACTGTGCATATTACTCCCGAAATTCACATGGAGAAGATGTTGGTGTTGTTCTCTGCCCTAGATCTGATCAAAAGATAGGTGCATCAAAAGAGTAGATTAGTCTTGCATTGAAGTCTAAAAATCCAAGGAAGCTCTATTAAGCCAGTAACCTTTCCCCTTCTTTATTCAATATTGTGAATCAATTTTCTTAATTTGTCCATAGATATGTTCTTTCACTTCCTTTCTAATATTTATTAGTGAAAATCGTTATTGAAATTTGGATTATTCAATTTACTTTTTGATTCATTGAAACTGTGGATGGAGCAGGCTCGATCATTGGAGAAGTAAACCATACTGATTAATTGGATTATGAGTAAACCACTTTGTTTCACTATTTGGAAGTTTACATCACTCTTTAGTGTTAGAGTTCTTTCCGTGTAAACTTTATTTATTTTTTACTTTATGTTTTTTTATGTGGCTTTTAATTTCCTAGATGGTGAAAGTTGATCCTATACAAAATTTCATTATGGAGCCTTACTGTATACAAAAATAGAATGGTATTTTAGGCGGAAATTGCTTCAGCAGGGATAGCAATTGGCATACGCATAACCTCTTGCATGATTTGTCGGATAAAGTAGAGGATCTCACAACGCAATTCCTGAATGTTGCTGTTTTTATTCCTCTTTCATGCTCTATTACTCCCTCCGCTCGCAGCTCTCTGAAACCTTGGTTGGGGGCTGGGTTTCCAAGCCATAGCCCCGCTGTTAACAGTTTCTCCTCCCCGACTGTCTGCTTTCTGATTCTATCTACATTCATGTGTACATGAAGATATTAAGGAACACATACTAGGGAGAAGGTGGATTTCATTCATCGATTTACTCTGTGTTTAACCATTGATTATTAAGGAGATGTGAATTTAAACATCTATTTCAAAACCCACCTGCCAAAGAGAGCTTTACAAATCCACCATGCAATAACTCATTATCCAGGTTTGTTTAAAGATGTGATTTTCAGTTTGTTTGCTCAAAGATGTGTTTTTTAAAGTTATTACAATTTGATGTTATAAACTTTTTATTGTACATACAATTATTTCATTGATTTTTATTTTCTTATTACATGCTCAGGGTATTGAAACTTGAAGGATTTGAGAGAGATATAAATGGTTTTGTATTCTATTTTAATAAAGGATGTGTTATAAATTCAATTTTGGAGTTTGATGTCATCCAATCTACCGATAATATAAGCTGCACAGCTCATTTTAGGTCAAGCTCTGCTTCTATAGTACTATGCAAACTCATTGCCCTCATTTGAGCCATGGTGGTTTTTAGCTATTGTGTTTTTTGGGAAATTTCTTATATAATTAAGAGTTTGGTTGTCAAAATATTATTGTAATTTTGTTGTCATATCATGGAATCTGCACTCTTCACATCTCTTTGATCTTTTTATTTGTAATGTAAATCAATATGCTTTCAATGATCATTTTCTTACATTTCTATATGCATTAAAACTTTATTATTCTAAATAGTAGCCATTTCATTTAGTCTGCTGAGCTTCTGGAGTGTGCCTAAACATTTGAGGTTGTTTTTTTAAATCATCAGGCTGCTGTCATTTGCATCCGTTAGCTTGATTAAGTTTCTCCCTAATGGAGGTCTATTAGGATGTTTTTTTTGGAAGATGGAGCATGACCAACATGTGTGCTCGACCTTTTACTTTTTACAATGAGAATGAGCATATGTGCAAAGAACTTTTCTCCACCCAACTATTCTCTTCTTGAATAAAAATAAACTAACTCAAACTATTTTTGCAGCAAAGGTGCAGCCGCGAGCAGAGGTCGCAAAGAATAGAGAGAGTGACTACCGTGACCACCTAGAGTTGAACCAGTGCAAATCTAACCAGTTGTGAATCTAATGTCAAAAGATGTTTGGTAAGTCAAATTTCATTCAAATTTTTTGTTTCTCATTATTTATGGTTTAGCATATAAAGTGTTTTTTTCAGCAACTCATGTTGATTGATAAAGTAGGATCATTGACTTTATAGAGAAATCACAACGAGAACAACTAAAATCTATGAAGGTAAAAAGGAAAAAAATGACTTAAGTTGCCCATATATTCAAGTAATTAATGGGGTTTGAGATCTGAATTGTTTAACATTAATCAATATAGATAAAGAAAAGTCTGATACATTTGTTGGCTTTATCAATTATTGATTCACTTATCCCCTATATTTGGACATAACTTTTCCCGTGCTACTCAGCTCCTTTCTAGATTCTTCACTTTTGTTTTTTGCATTTGTATTTATTTCGTATGAGTTTCCCTTCTATGTTTTGCCCTTCAAGAAAAAAATGTATTGACCAACCACACTCATAAAAGAAAAGACAGATTAACCTATAAATTTTATTCTCCTATGAGTCCTATCTTCTTAATGATTTATTTGATTATACGTGCATATATCATGAAATCTAATATTTTTGAATTGAACTTATAATTACTAAGTATTTGTTCTCATACTTTACTATTCTTTTAAAAGGTTTGAGTTTTAACCAGGTGTCACTCTAAAGAAGAAAGTAAAAACTTGAAGTCCCTAATTTATCGAAATTTTGATTTCTATATTTTAATTCAAGCAATTCACTCATTTATTGTTTTAAGATTATTTTCTTTATTTCTCTAACTAAATTCATTCCTTATCTTCTTCCTGCTTTAATGATAACCTTTAAAGTGATATTTGTCATGTGTACTATTTTAATGTAGATATATATAGCTAACTTGCGTGCTTGCTCGAAGGTGAATTGGTTGGACAAAATTGAGCAGAAATAAAGAGAAATTATGGGACTATTTGTTTGAAGTGTTGGTGCTACCATTTCTCTATTGCCCAAGTTGTTTTCTCACTCCATGGTAGTACACTCTTTTTTGTAAATTGCTGCATTTTTAAGTTATCGCTATTAATCCTTCTATATTAATCCTTATGTACAACTGTACAAGGAGAACTTCGTGCCAATAAACATCCACTATAAATAGGGTAGGCTTTATCCAATTCAAGACATATCACAGCTGCTTTGAAAATAGAAATAAGATGCAAAATATTGCTCATTCATTATCGACTCACATATTCTAATTCTTCTTCTTCGTCCAATTTATACTGTATCTTTCAGATTATGATGTTTGACTAAATTTATTTTTTATTTAATTTATTTGAAAGTTGGATGGAATTAAAAAATAAAAATTGCATATTAAAAGTAATTGAAATGAAAGGTTACATGATTATATTATTTTATCAAATAAATAGTACGCCCTCCGTCCTAAAACTACCTTCCCATTAGAAAAAAAAAAGATAGCAAATGACATTAATACCCTCATGTATTTGCACCAATTATCTTCTAACTCTATATTTTG